CGGGCTGCAGACATCACAGCCAAACCCTCCAACGCCCGTCTCCTAGGGGACACGACGACCGCTGTTCCACGGCTTACACGTCGGTGTTAACAAGAGGGAGTAACTGTTTCAGTCGCATCATAGATACAGAGCCCACATTCCCAGCTCCCCCAGCTGTCCGTAATATGTTCCTTGTAGTTCTCCTGTAAGAATATACCTGAACAATCACTTTCCCTTTATTGTTCAAAAAATACTTTACGGCTGCTGCTACTGTTCCGTGTTTTTGTCACCTCACAGTTATTTCCTGAATGTTATTTTAGAAAACACTTTCTATTAATAATTTTGAAACTTCGGCTTTTAAAAAAATCTCCACGAAGGACTTTTTTTTTCATTGTTCTTTTAAAGAGAGAAAAGGGAAAGAAAAGAGAAAGGAAGGAGAAACACACTGGTTGGCTGCCTCCCATAGGGGCCGGGACTGGGGATCGAACCTGCAGCTTCGGTGTACAGGATGCTGCTCCAGTCAGCTGAGCCTCACCGGCCAGGGGAAACTCTGGCTTTTAAATTATAACTACTGTTGGATAAGCAGTGATATAATTCCTTATTTCACATTTCGTAAAACAAATTTTAAATGAGAGGGTTCTGGAAAAAAGAGCCTGCGTGAAGCATCAGGAGAGTGTGGGGAAACCGAGGTGACTGCCAGGTGACCGTGTCTGGTGTGTGCACCCTGCCGCCCGGGGAATCGGGCGGGAACCCCCCCCCCGACCCCGCCTCGCCCTGCCTCGCCCTGCCTTGGCTCCTCTCTCCCTCCTTCCCTTCCTTGCCCCTCCCTTCCCTGACCCCTCCTTCCCTCCCTCCACATTTGCGTGGTTCAAACATACGGAAAAAATGAGTGAACAAGTGAATAAAAAGGATGAAAACTCCCCCCAATCCTGCCTGTTCCCGTGGTTACGCATAAACATTTCTATCAGCTTCTCGTCTGTCCTTCTAGAAATTTTATGCAAACACAAGCAAATGTATGTGTGCTCGTCTTTCTGTTCCTCTTCTGCATCCTGCTCCCTCCTTCAGCAAAGTATCCTCCCAACGCCCCCACATCAGTGCACGGAGCGCGGCTCCATTTGCTCCGCCGCAGCTGCACGGTCCATGGGGGCAGCTCCGTCCGAACAGCAGAAAACACAACTCGGACGCAAAGCAGACACTTAAGCCTTTGTCCTCTCTGGGGCAGCAGGCACGTTGCAGTTCTTTACAAACAATAGGGACAATGACTGCCATTTAAGGTGCTTGGGCCACCTGCGGGCCCCTGAGCACTAGGGTTACGTGGGTCATCTCATTCCTCCCTCATCAGAGCTAAGAAGCAGCAAACACTCTCCCTCCCATTGTACAGATGGGGTCACCGAGGCTCCGAGAGACTGGCTATACGACTTCTTCCTCCCCGGACTGGGGGTGTCACAGAGCCCACATCTCACTGAGATTTGCAGACCGGCTTCGTGGCCCTGGAGTCGCCTTCCTTCCTCACCCCACGCAGCCCTGGCCTAGGAGGGCACCTGATGACCCCGACTCTCACCCCAGCGCACCCTGCCCACCATCTCTGTCCAGGGGCGGTCAGCTCACATCGCCTCCGATCGCTTCGACGCGCCCGGGGCCCCTCCCAGTCCTCAGACCTGCACCTGAACTCGCAGGCCCCAACCCTCTGCTGCTCCACGCACCCAGCCCCGGGGCTCCTGCAGGTGCTGGTGCAACGCCAGGAACACCCCACCTGTCCCCAAGGCGTGCAGACCCCTTCGGAGCGCGGCCGCGGGGCTGACCCTTCAGGGCCCCGCGTGGCCCCTCCCGGCACAAGCACACTCGCCCGGGTGTGGCTGTGCCGTGCCCCGTCACTTTGCACACACCACGTTCACGGCTCTTTTCACAGTGTCTGCTGATTTTTTTGTGTGTATGTGTCCTTCCACCCTCACCCTCAATTCCATGCTTAAACAGGAACAGCTTTGCGGCAGAATTCTATACTCTCATACTATATCTGTGTCTGGCATGTAGTAGTTGACCCAGAAATATGTTACATAAATGCACAAAATTACACATTTAAGTGTATAAGTGACATTTGCCGTAATTTACTCAACAGTACATTTTGTTTTAAAGAGGTATTTGTTTCCTTGGGATGGACGTTAGCCGCCCTCCCTTCCCCCGCACCTGCAGGCACCACAACGAGAGCCGCTGAGGGAAACACGTGGCCTTGACCCTGTGGGCTTCCCGCCCGCGGGTCTGCGAGAGCAGAGACCCACACGGGGGGCGCGTCTGGTGGGAAAGGCCGGAGGTGGGCTGTGTGAGCCCACGCATGGGGGGGGGCCTCCTTGCCAGCCTTAATGCCTGGTCCCTGGTCACTCTGTGGGGTACACCTTCCTTCGGTTTGGGGGTTTCACACCCACAGCTCCCCGTGGGTCCAAGCCGGGTAATCCTCTTGCATAACGGTTTTAATTCGATTTTATGTCCCACAGACCCTTCAGGACGATTTCAGGATATCCCTTGGCAGACGGGTCGATATAAGCATGCAAAATGTCAGAAAATTGTCTCCTCTTCCAGTGTGACAGGTTTCGGGGGTGCTGCCCCGACCCCCACAGGTAGGACCGACCTGCTCCCTCAGGCCTGCAACAGGCCCTGCGCACCTCCTGTGCCGGCTCAGGTGTCCCCGCCGCGGTCCCACAGCGGCCACGTGCCCGTCTGCGGGGCCGCGCACCCGAGGACGGTGACTTCAGAGATACAGGTTGAAGTGCGGGTTGGACAGAAAGTAAGAGTCGCATTCTTCCACGCAGGTCACACACAGCAGGCCAAAGTGACTGAGGCTAGATGCTCGCCGCGGGTTGGCGGCCCCTGCCCGAGGGTCCAACCTGCCTGCCGCACGTCCCGTCTGGAGTCCCAGGTGCGCGGCCACACCCACCTGTCTCTGCGCGGCCTGGGGGGCTGCCCTACTGCGCGGCAGCCGGGGAGCCGCTGCAGAGCCCCGGGGCCCACTCGGGGCGACGCCACGACGGCGACACGCACGGTTTCGTCTTGTTGTGATCACAGGAAGCCTTGCACCTGCCCCGCGATGCCGCCGTTGGGATGCGTGAGTGCCCCACTTTGGAATGCTGGTCTCCTGCCTTTCATCCACTGTGTCACTTCACCATCCGCGCACAGAGTATTTAAGGCGACAGCAAATAAATGCCGATTATTCCGCGGGGCCCAACCCTGGTCTTGGAGGAGTGAAAATACCCAGAGATCACCGAGCGCCGTCATGGCCTGCATCAGTGCTGCTGCGCAGCTCCGTCACGCTGACCGGCGTGTGTCCTCACCCCACTGGACGCCCGGGCAGCCGCTGAGCCGCAGTGCGGCCCCAGGGAGAGGGGCCACGGGCCACGGAGCGCCGGGGGAGCCCCTGCTGCCAGGGCTGCTGACTCGCTGGGCCGGGGGCACGCGGGGGCTCTCGGGCTGGCCCGCCTGCCCACGCCCAGGGGAGCCGGCCCCTCCAGGGCCCCCCGTGCAGTGCAAGACAGGCCCACGTGCGGTCAGGCGTGGACAGGCCGGCGCTGCCCCCCGGGACCACGGGGCCTCTCCGTCTCTTGAGCGGCCCGGCCTGGCCGTCCGCCTTGGAAGCCGGGCGCGATGCCGTGCCCAAGGAGCCCGCGTGAGGCCAGGCCGGTGGGCGTCAACGTGGGCTCTGCTCCGCTCCGCTCTGAGAACGAGCCTCAGGCCACCGCGAGGCTCGCACTGGAGGGCTTTCCCGGGAACCCCTTCGACACCGTGTAAACGTGCGCGTTTAACTCCCCGCCAGAAATGTCAGGTCAGCAAGCCCACCTTCAAATATTGAACTCTCGTAATAACCCATGACGTTTTTTTAAACTTTTGACTAAAAGTAAACGAGATTAGACAAAACAAGATGGCCTGTATACATGAACACCCACAGGACAGACACTTGACTGACTAGAACTCAAGTATGAGTTTGACACTCGATGGGAGAAGTCTTTATAGTTTCCAACTCCGGGGAAATGACGATTAGGCACAATTGCCTTCCCCGAGCCAAGCCAACGGGAGCAGGGGGTCCGTCAGGCGAAGCGCACAGGGTGCAGGCGGGAACACAAGGAGAACGGCCGTGCCCTGTTACCCCCGTTCTCAGAGCTCCCGAAGGCGGCGGCGCCCCCCACAAAGCCGCCGCGGGGGGGCGGCAATCCCAGACCACTCTCCAGGCGGCTGCGAGCGGTTCTCTGATCGCACAGGCAAACGGGGCGGCCGGCGGACCAGTAAATGACCGTCGCACGGCACACCTTGAAGGACAGGCCGGCCGGAGTCCTCGCCGTGGGGCATCCCGAGAGACGGGCACTCGGCCAGCACAGCCGCGCGTGTGAACCGGCCTCCCTCCCCGGCGCGGGCACCGCGGTGACTGCCGCAGCTGCTCCCGGGAGCGCACACACACACACACACACGCGTGAGACGCGGGGACTTGGCACAGGTGGGCGTTCAGTCAGGTTGCCGCCGCGCTGACCGCCAGCCCTGAGGCTCCCTAAAGCATGTGCTGCCCAGCAGCGGTCACTTGGCCACCCAGCCCCACTCCGAGCCACAGTCGGCGCACTTGACCGAAAGCCGATCGCGAACTCCGGGAACCAGCCACGTTTGTGGTAAGGGTGCATTTTGCCTGCAGGGATTCAACAGACGTCCCCGTTCCAGGCCTGGTGTCCTTCTGCCCCTGGCACCCCGAGGACCCTCACGGGGCCCAGAGAACGCAGGTCCTCCCCAGCCCCCACCCCACGGAGCTTCCACAGTAGCAACCACAGACGCATCGCCCGATGTAACTGCCCGTGGCCCTTTCTGGCCTGGCCTGTCTGTCTGGAGACGGTGCAGCAGAACTCCCGGCCACCTCCCTGAGCCGGGAGGCGCCAGGAGGCGGAGCAGCAGCCGGGAGTGACAGAGAGACCGGGGCAGCAGGCGGGGGCCCAGGAGGGGACGCTGTGCTCGGCCCCCCCGCGGGAGTGGGGCGAGGGGGGAGCGGCAGGTACCTGAACCCAGCGGTCGCCGGGCGAGGGAGCGCTCTCGGCGTCAGACGTGGCTGCCTCCGTGGGTCCGAGTCCGGGGTCCGGCGGCGCCGCCTGGACGTGAGTTCACCGGCTCTTCTTCCGGTCCATGTTCTAAAGGGCAGAACGACAGCACAGTGACCGCCTGCAGGAAGGGGCCGCTGGCGAGAACACTCTCCTTGGTGCTGTCGCCCTCCACGGTCAAGAGTGACCTTCCCGGACAGGTAGCCGACTGCACACGAAGGGACGTGTGCCCGACCCCACGCAGAAGCCCTGGCGGGGGGCCGCGACGGACACGCAGGTGGGCTCTGGAGCACTCGGCCCCTGGACTCTGGAATCCCCGATGTTCAACAGTGTCAAGTGCGCGTCCAGGTTTAAAGCTCAGACTAAATGCGCTGAGTAGTTAGACGGACCCATTATCAGCCAACGTGTAAGACTGCTGTCGTCTTCTCCAGCACTCGGACGCCGTTTGAGAAACAAGTTAATAAGTGAGAAATGTCATAAATACGCAATTATTTCTTGGAAATAATGTGATCGCGTTCGTAACGCTGTAACCTGCGGATGACTGGGGCGGTTCCCAACGTCAGCTCCACTCTATTTCCGTGGAACGACCACGAAAGACACCATCTCAGTGACCTCAGTGAACTCAGGGTGTATGTGCTGACTTCCCAGCCAGGCTCCCTGCCACACCGGGTCAGCGCCGGGAGCTGCTGGCGGCGTCGGGGTACTCCGTTCGTCTCTCCCAGCCGGGAAGGAAGGCGCCCAGACTGTCTCCACCTGCCGCGCCTCACGGAGGGGTTACCCCTCCTCACAAAGGAGAGACGGCCGGGACACCCGGAGTGGAGGAGGCGGTGCCCCCGCGGCGGGGACCATTGTCTCTGGTGCGAGCCTGGCGCGGAGAGGCTCGTTAGACGGGGCCCACGGCGCAGCCGCCGGAGTGTTAATGGGCGGTGGTGAAGTGTGTCAGGCAGATGACCGACCCCGGGGGCTCCCCACGCTGCTGCTCGCCAGCAGCCACGGGGGCGGCGTTACCGTAAATCCTCTGAAAGACGCCGCACTCCCCTTCCCGCCTGCCGCCACACCACGAAGGGAATATTCCGGGTGCTGAGCAGGGAGGGGTTTAAGTAAAATAACACGTAATTTCCCATGAAGTGCACAGCCTGTAAAACGCAACTGTAACGCACTTGATTATTTTCCCGAATGAAGGTTTACCAAATCAAGTCCATAAAGAACAGAGTAACTCAGAAATGTGCACACGAGCTAAAAAGGCCTTAAAATTATGTGCCCTGAAATATCAAGGCTGAAAAATAGAAGAAGACTTGATGTTTGTTCTGTGTCAAAGTCTCGACTCGTTTAGAATTACGAGATGTTAAAACATGTTAAACTTTTAATGCAAACTGTGGTTTGTGATTTCACTTACACACGAGTGTGGTTCTGAGCCATTTATACTCAAAAACCGCTGAAAACTGTGTTTTGTGATCGTTTCCACTTACCAGTGCTCAAGACACACACCAACACGTGTGCACACACGTGTGCAGACTATGTGGGCACACCATGTCGGCAGGAAATCCTTCCCGATACTAACTGTCCTTCTATTCACAGCATGATCCGTAAATCGAACTTCTGGGGGACAAGGCAAACACCCTACACCTTCTCACACAGGGGCACCCCACAAAGCGCCCGGGTTCAGAAGTGAGCCCCGTGTCCAGGCCGGGACAGAGCAGAGCCTCGTCCACCCCCACCCTTGAACGACGCCCAGCAGAGCACAGAGCCGGGGGCATGCAGGGGCTCACGGGGAGGGCCGTGTCCTCCGAGGACACTCACCGCCGCCCGGCCTCCGTGGGACAGGGGCCTGCTCTCCGTCAGACACTGCCCGGGCAGCGGCACTGAAGGCTGGACAGGACGGACTTTGACATCAATCATAATACAATGGTCTAAATATACGGACAGCCGCCCGTATGCGTGCTTTCTAGGCTGGCAAAACCCACCTCAGCCAGCATCGGGATGGGTGTTTTTGGAGTCGCTGAACTACCCCGAAGTTCAGCTTCCTCTCGGACAGCAACGGGGCTGAGCTGACAACGAAAGCACTTCCTGCAGGTCCCAAATCCCCGAGCCCCTAAGTCCTCGGCGCCCCACAAGACGCCTGACGCGGCTTCCTGCCCCGTGGACCGCCTGCACGATGAGAAGCGTGCTCCCCCCGTCTGTGAACAGGCTCAGGGTGCTCTCTCCGTCTGCACAGCGGCCACAGCTCCCAAAGCCAGTGGCCACCGGGACCTGCTCTCCACAGGCCCGTGGCCCTCGGTGCCCCCGCAGGGCAGGGCAGGGCAGGGCAGGGCAGGGCAGGGCGCTGCTGCCCAGGGCAGAGCTGTGCAGCCGGGGAGCACGGGCCCGTCCCCTGGGCTGCGGCGCGGGAGGCGGTTCCCTGTGACTCTCCCAGCGCATGCCAGTGCACAGAGGCGTGGACACTCCTGTCCCTGCCACCTGCTGCCACTCCTGTCCCTGCCACCACCGCCTCAGGTGTCTCATGTCAAGAAGGCCCTTTGAGTGACAGAGTCATGATCAACCGACACACGCGTGTGCCTTCTTGGCCATCGGAGTCACTGCTGCAGGGTCACACACCAGCAGACACGTTCCTCGCCTGGTTCTCTCCCCAAGAGGTTCTACGTGAGGCTGGTTAAGGAATGAGAGACGGTTGTGACCCCGGACAGGAGCCAGATGCTGCCGGTCGGCATGGTCACAGGAGCCTTCTCGGGCAGCGGGTGGCCTCTGCGAGCCCCACAGGGTGCCAGCTGCGCCCCCACCTGCAGGGAAGGGCTGCTGCTCCGTGGGCGGTCTTCTGGGCACTGCCCAGGCCAAAGTGGGGTGCGGGGGGTGCCGATACAGGTCTGTGCGGTGAGATACAGGTCCGTGCGGTGCGCCCTGCACAGGTGTGCTGCGGCTGGCCCCGCCCTCATTGCCAGGTCACAGCCTGGAGCTGGTGGGGGGGGATGGGCTGACCCGGGGGCCGGGCAGGTGGCCGGCCTCCCCTGCCTCGGCAGCAGGCTGCTGTCCTCAGTGTCGGGTGGGGCCCCTTGCGGTGAGTGGCGCCCCGGTCCCCACCTTCTGTCCCAGAAATGCCTGGGGGGGGGGGCGTTCACTTCCAACGGGCACGATGCTCAGAATACGTGCGCTTTCGGTTTCCAGGGAAAACACAGGTGATCGTTTTCAGAAAACAGAGAGAAGAGGAAATACGTAATCACACAAGTAAACAAACGAGGACATCTTCACAGTAGAAAATCAGAAGAAGGTACACAGACTTCAAAACCACCTGCATGTCCTGGGAAACACTTCGCACCTCTCCCTCCTGTGTGTGGAACCTAACCCCCCCAGGTCTGCCCGGCGACCTCCCTGCTGAGAGCGCTGGGGTGTGCTCCTGACAAGTGAGACGCCCCAAACCGCCCCCCCCACGTGGCCTTCCTGGTCTCAGTGTTTCCCACAGCGTCGCCCAGGCCCCTCGCGGGGAGCCACGGGGCCCCGCGTGCTGGCGGACAGCACAGAGGAGGCCGGGAAGCACAGGTTGTAACTCGGAGCTCCCACAGGTAAAACGGCGTGTGCAGGACGCGTCCTCCAGCTACTCTCCCGTCGCCAGGCAGCCCCACGCTTAGCCCTGTCACTAAGCCCACCCACTCACTGGCTCTCGGAGGGGAAACTCAGTCCCCACCGCGGGCACCAGGGGGAGCTCCTCGGGCGCCCTGCCCCGAGGCCCAGAGGCCCAGAGGCCCAGAGGCCCAGAGGCCCAGAGGCCCAGAGGCGGGGGCGCTGAGCTGGCAGCCCGTCTGCGGCTGGTGGCGGCCCGGGAGCAGCACACGGCAGGGGCGGTGCAGAGGTGAAGGAACACGCGTGTTGTAAGGAGTTCGGCAGTGTGGGTAACAATTTAAAAAGTGCAATCCCGAGCCTAACGGTTCTCACGCATAAGGTCGTTCAGTGAGCACTGTACGTAGTCAAAAATGGACACCCCCAGGGTGGACCAGTCACTCCACGAAGCGTCATCCGGGACTGGTGGGCACATCTTCAGAGGTCAGAGTCTCCAAGTCGCAGGACAGGGAGAGAGCGGGATGGTGCGGAGCAGCGCACGTCACCGCACCACGGCACACGGGGCACGCCGAGAACCTGGCTGTGAGGTCCGTATTCACGTGTGTGCACGCGCGAGGACGCGGACAGTGTTTTAGCGTGCAGTCCATAGTCATGTGTGTGCACATGTGCGTACACGGGTGTTTATAGTGTGGTTCATATTCACATGTGTACACGTGTGAGTACACGGATGTTTATAGTGTGGTTCATATCCACATGTGTGCACGTGTGAGCATACACACATTTAGCGCATAGTTCATATTCACACGTGTGCAATGTGAGTACATGGACATCTATAGGGTGGTTCATACTCACACACACGTGCACACGTGAGTGCATGCACAGTTAGAGCATGGTTCATATCCACATGTGTGCACGTGTGAGTACATGGGCATCTATAGGGTGGTTCATATTCACACACGTGCACATGCAAGTACATGGACAATGTTTAGAAGGGGTTGAGACCAATGACTCACAGAGATTATCTTTGAAGAAAGGATTAGGATTTTGAGGATTAAGAAGGACTTTCACTTTTTACCTTAATTATCTGTAATTGTTTATATTTCAGTGATAAAGCAAATTCATGTGACATCATGTAATAAAATAAACTGAAAAATATCATTTCACACATCTATTGCTATTGTTAGAAGTTACATATCTCAAACTGCTCTGAAGGATGACTAACAAATTCAGGTTAAAAGCCATACTTCCAAAGTCACGTAACAATCGCGAGCAACTTGGAACTCGCGGGGACCCAGACCATGCGCGGCCCACGCACATCTGCGACTGGTCCCGGGACCTGCTGGCTGTTCACACGCCAGCGACGGCGCTGCCTGAGGTCACGGTTCGGCCCCGCTAGGTCATCTGAGCTCATCAGGAAATATCCTTCCAGATCAAGCAAAACGGTATGGAAAGGCAATTAAACGTGGAGGCAACTACAACAAAGGCCGCTCCGTGCTGCGTCGGGCAGCGGGGGCTGTTTGGAGAGCGCCTGCCCCCTGGCG